GGACCAAAATTGATCCAGGTAGTAATAATATTATTAAGTTCATCAAGTTCAAGTAATCAAGTTTCATTTTTATGATTCTATTATTTATTTATAATTTTATTCAATATCTTTGCAGCTAATTGGTAGAGCCAACATGGGTGTAGTTCTCCAAATTTACGAAAATTGGCCATTCAAATCTTAAACATAACCACTTCCTCATCCAGTTGTGAGCGCAATTGAAGTACTTTTGAAGGGGTTAGGTCGTAAAGGTAATTTGTATAATTGTATTAATAATACATGAATTATAGATTTTAATTAGTTTCATTTGATTTTGTTAGATTCATACAAAGAAAATGAACAGGCTTGAATCAAAGAAGCTCAGTGACCTAGTCTATGTCAAGTATAATTGATTCTTAAAGGACAGGTTTGCTAAGAGAGAGAAGAGAGAACCCAACAAATCAAAAAATATGGACAATGCTATGGAGTGGTTAGTTGATGATGATGATGAGGTCGAGAGGCATGAAGGATTGACATGGGACATGGTCATGGATGCTTCAGGGACATCAGCTGACCCTCCTAGGGCCACTAGATCTTCTGCATAGAGAACGAGGTTGGAGGAGGAAGAAAAAGCAAATTCAGAAGAGGCGGAGGAGGACGACCAATATGTCGAGGAGGGTGACGACTCCGATGGATATGATGCCAATGCAGCTGACCCTAATTTTCTGATGATGAATCATGAATGTTAAATAATTATTAAACTTTGAACTTTGATTGAACTATTGTCTATTGAAGATTCTTTTGAGTCCTCAAGTATTACTTTCATTTATGTTTTCTTCCTCATGGTGGTGTAATACTGTAATGTGATTTGTGGACAGTGGATTTGTAGTTCCACTGGTTTGGTACTATTTGGTAACTTTAGTTTGGTAATTTGGTTGGTTGGTAAATTTTAAGTTTTAATTGGATATGGATTCTGGACCGACTTATGGTTATGCTTATGGAGTGTTCGCTAATGTGTAGTATACTTTGAATTTTGATGTGCCCTAAATACCTAATTCTATATTTTATACAATATATAACTGTAGAATCATTTTTTTATTCAACTGGGTCGCCCAGGTTCTGGGCACCTGCCTGGGCGCCCGCCAGGGCGCTAGGAGGCCTGAACCCCCCAAGCCACCTAGAACCCGCCTAGCGCTTTTTGAAACACTGTCTATACATTTGAGTGTTATCCCTCTCTCTCTTTTCTCTCTTTTACTGCACACCTAAATCTTAAATCTCTCTCCCCACCACCAAACCCCAACGAAAATCCAAACTCTCTCTATCATACCAGTCTGTAAATCTCCCTTGCTTTCTTTTTCAGCCTTGTAAATTTGAAAATTCAAAAGAATTGAGTCTGGTCTTGAACCCAGTGATCAATGTACCACTTATTAGTAACAGGTGGCATCTACAACCCTCCTTACCATCAAACATCACATTCACACATCAGCGACTCAAACATCTATACAAGAGTGAGAACTCCTATTGTGTAGAAGTTTACTTGCTAATAAAGCAAAGGCACGATATAAACAGAAAATGCATAACATATCATTAATAGTTAATGCACAAAAAATAATAAAAAATTAATCAAAAAAAGATAAAATAAACAAAAGGCAGTTTGGTCTTCAATGAGCACATGAATGCCCCATCATGCTTGTGATAAAATAACAAGGATGTGTCTTGACTGGTGTGTAACACAGATATCTGAGCCACATGCACACGCAAAGCAAAATAAACAAAATAATGATAAAACAGAAAAACAAAAAATAGTTTGCTAAATCTACAATTACTTCCTGCAAGAATATTATGTGGTTCATAGTTCAATCAACATATGCAGTCATAACTGGAAAATTACAACCTGCATACTTGAAGCAGCAGAAAAAAATATTAATACTAATATAGTTCATGAAAAAGCATACCACTATTATGTGGGTAAGTTCGAGTCCACCAGCTTTCTTGGCTTTACACTCTCCACCTGTCTTTGATGCCTCGAGAGCTCCACGGCCAACCAACAGCCTCAAAAGAACTCCATTCGTACAAAACATAATGGAGGAGTGCTTACCACCACTGGATTCCAATCTTATCTGATATTGTGCTCCAAAGAAACAAATGAATTAAAATATGGATATTTTACCAAAAGGAAGCTATTCAAGATGATTGATAAGAACTAACCTACTAACCAAAAATTTGAAAATATATACACAGGGAGTGAGCAATTCTAGCAGTGCACATACACATATGCAGGTGAAATGGTCTGGATTACTGAAGTTTTCATGCACAAAGTTTAGGCTATCCTCCTTAGGGATGTTCCACTGTGATTGTTTATTGGATGCAGATTAGAGACCTAGCACAAAAGGAGATTTAACCTTAATGGCTGTTAAGTATTTGTGACACAGCAGCACGCGCATTAGGGAGGAGAGACAATATAAGATCATCTGCAGAAAATTATTGCATCCGCACACACTTGTTGCCATCACACTACAGGTAGTGATTCAAGCTGAGGAAGTCAGAGATGGCAAGGCCATTTAGGGATTTATGGTTACAGGCCATAAGGATCACCAATGTCCTGATACAATCTAATAGTGCATTGTAGTTGGACTCCCTTCCTTCAAAGATTAGGGTGTTCCTCTCTGTCCAAATGTTTGTTGTTGCTAACCGCACACTACAAAAAGAGGCTCGCTGCCAGGTAAGGAGATGAGAAGAATGCTTGGAATAGCTGCAGAAGTGTCTGTGGGGTGACCCAATACCAAGTGAAGCTTTAAAGCAGATCTGACCAAATAGTTTTGGCCACCTTGCATTTCAGAAGGTCATCACCGGTTTCTTGCAATACTTTGCATATGGCATACCTGGTGGGTATAGGTCATAGTTACCGGAATCTCTAACCGCAGGTAGCAATTCCACTTCAGAACCCCGAGTCTGCGATTCCATCATTGAATCTTCAAGGAACACATTTCCTTGAATTCAGGAATCTCGATTCCACATTTTAGGAATCTCGATTCCAACCTCTATTGAATCTCAATTCCACATTTTTAAAATCTCGATTTTTGTGGAATGCAGATTCCACAAAAGTATATTTTTTTATTGAGTGTAATTTTGTTCTCTCTTCTAATGTCAAAATCTCTATCACCCTCTTTCCATGAGTGTGCTTATGATGTTTAAACTATTAGCACATGTTCCCAATAACACTACAACACAATGTGAATGTTTCGAATCGAGATTGGCTTGTGTGCTTAGCAGCTAACAATTAACAACACTACATCTAAAGTTCGATTCCTATAGCTAAACTACCCACAAAAAAGAAGAAAAAAATAGCACACACACACAATGTGAATGTAAAGAAAAAATATTATTTTATTTTCTCTCTCAAAATGTACTCACTTTCATTTCATCACATCAAGTAAATGGCATACTTCGAATATAAGGTAGGGATTCCCACACAATTGTTTTTCTAATAGTGCTAGAACTTGGTGGCTATTCTTGAAAGATAATTGGGAAAGAGATTTGGGCTCAATTCAGATTACATTTCTAATGATGTTAGAACTGGCGACAATTTTTTTAAAAATAATTGGGACAGAGATTTGGGTTCAATTCGGATTACAGTTCAGAGCAACACAATGGGATAAACTAATTCCCAATTTCAACTATAAATATGAAATTAAAATCTTAGTTTCAAGTACACGAGGTAATATTTGTATGCTTTGTAAACACCATCACAAATCCCCTAGAGGACTATGAGTGCATGTTAATTGTATTTAGCTTAAATTTAGTATTACAACCACTATACCTTAATTCTGATATTGTGATTAAGAATTCTGATACTGCGATTAAGGCTCAATACATCAATTTCAATACCAGGGGAATGCTTGTTCAGGTCTGTATGACCTTTAACGATCTCGATTCGAATACTAGGGGAACCGTGGCTAAAGCATACTCAATACATCAATTCCAATACTAAGGGAATCTTGCATAAGCTTACTCTAGAACCTTAAATCCTTTGCCTTGCGAAAAAAATTTCCTAATGATTTTTCATGCGGTTCTAAGTTGTTGGGTGTGCGATCCTATAAATGTAGGAATCTCAATTCCAATTGGGTTGAAACTGGATCCCACAAAGGTAGGAATCTTGATTCCAAGTGGGCTGAAACTCGATTTCAAACTTGGATGAATGTCGATCCCAATTGGCCTGAAACTCGATTCCAAAGAGGTAGGAATTTTAATTCTATTTGGGTTAAAGCTCTATCCCATAGAGGTAGGAATCTCGATTCCATTGGGGATTCCAACAAAGTAGGAATCTTGTTTCCTGCAATTCCCTATGTATGGACAACAACTCCGACAACAGGAATCTTCCAGTCCCCCTGCGATTTCAATTCCAAAATCGATTCGGAGTCTCAAGCATTTCCAACAACAATGGTATAGGTAGCCCCCTACGTTGCAGTTGGTCTACTGATTGGGCCTTCTGAAGAATCGCTATCCAACATAAGGTTTGGATCTTTTTGCAGGATTGGATTAAGCCAAGCTCTTCTAGCCAATAAGCATTGGGGGGGAAAGAGGGTGATGGGCTGTGTATGACACTATAGAAGGAGGCAACCAAGAAGAGCCCCAAGGAGATGGTGACCATATCATACAGTCTGGTCCTTGCTAGGGAAGATAAGTGTCTTGGAGCAAAGGCAGGCAGAGAGATGAAATCAGCAAGGTCGCGGTCCTGAAGGGCCTTCGAAAAATGGGGCTCCAAACTCTAGTTCTCCCTTATGTTTCGAAGGCATGTTCTATGGTGATCTCCTGGCTTATAGCTAGGTGGAATAGAGATGGGAAGTGTTCTTCTTCTTCTAGCAAGCTGTCTCCTATCCATGTCTCCTACCAGAATTTGACACCACGATCCTCCCTAGCACTGAACTGGACATTTGGCTAGAATTCATTGAGGCATAGGGTGATGGACTGCCAAAACCTTCACGGCCTAGCGATAGAGTGGGAGGAGGGGAGACACTTTATTTTTGCCCAATGACCGATTGCCAAAGGTGGTAGATGACAAAGAACGACTACCACTTCCCTAGAAGAGCCAAGTTGCAATATCTGAGGCTCCAAATGCAGCCCTCCTTTGTGTTTGGGAAGAGTGACCGTGTCCCAAGCCACCAGGTGGAGGTGGTGATTATCGTCTAAGCCCAACCACAAGAAATCCCTCATAAGTTTCTCAAGGCAATTGGCTACAGAAGTAGGCAGGCTTAACAGAGACATCTAACATATCAGGAGGTTAGATAGGGTGTCCCCTGATGAGGGTGGTATGACCTGCTGGGGATAGGACTCTACCCTTCCATGCCACTAGCTCATGATCAAACCTTTCTACAATGAGAGCCCAGAGTTACTTATTGGGCTTACCAGTGCACAAAGAGACCGAGAGCCTAACCTTACTTCAAGATTGTGATGGTTGCCAACTATGCATCAAATTCATTTCTCATTGAACAAACGAGTAAACATATTTAAGTATATTCAGAATCAAAGGAGCCCAGCCTTGTGTTAACACTCTAAACAACACAGTTTAGGAGTATCAGATGCACTTCTAGATGTCAACAAGCATGGTGTGTCCATGATAAATGCCAGATACATTTCACCAAGTTATGCTATAGTGGTTCTGATTGATGAAATATCCTTCTGGTCTATCTCTAACCCTATAGAATTAAAAACTTCAAGGTGGATGATGGTTCTCATACATACTCATGAATAAAATTAAGCACCCCATCCATTAGAGTTTATATAATAATTATGCTAAGATACTATAATCACACCGAATCTTAGAAGAAAGACCAAAATGCCTGAAATTTGGAAATAGATACATGAACCCTTGAAAATAATGGAAACAAACTTCTCTCTCCAATTTATAATCATGTCTCTCGCTCAAATTGAAGTATTTTTACCATCAGGAAAGATAATTAAAGTTAGTATTCTCTGTCGCATTTTATTGTCCGTTTAATCTTAAAATTTCCACGAAAGTGTCATATTGCTTTCAGCTTTTTCTTGGTTTCATTTTTTCAATTTTGTCCTAATATTTTATGAACTGAAAATGTCATCTAGCATTTCTTTTTCCCTAAAAAATGCCATCTATCAACAAAACTAAAGTTCTACATTCCTTGCGCAGCCAGTTGTACCCAACTGAATACCGAATCAGTCCTTCACATTACAAATCAAAGGTAAAGATGAACCTAACTAATAGAGATATATTTCCCATGGACCACCCAAAATTGTAGTTTTACTCGATCGAACTCTGAAGAATGTCTTTTAGGGTGTGGTTTGTATAGAGCCTAGGCTCCAAACAATCAAATTAGAGCCTACCTTCAAATAGTGTCGAGAAATGTTGTTTCAGCACTGGAAATCTTTGTGATAGCCTTAAAACATATTTTCATCTTTATTTATAAAGTTTAAAGCTTCATAAATAGAGTAGATAGACACATCTATGAAAACTTGAAAATCTTGAAAATTGACAATCCAAAAATGCATTACAAAATACACTATTTCCAAAATTTGAAATCCATTTTTTTTCTCTTGTCCATGCATCTTGATGTCGAGATGTTCAATTTGAGGATATTTGGGTATCAAAATAATCTCTTCTAGTGAAATTTTTGACGTAGGCTCTAATTTGATTGTTTAGAGCCTCGGCTCTATATAAACTTTCCCCGTCTTTTTAAATTTTCAGATCAACAACTCCCAAGACTATTTGTGATACAGGAATGAAATCAGATTAGTGAATTAAAGGTTCGTACCTTGTAACCAACACTTTCTCCAACATTTTCTCCCCTCTCAGAGGCAATTCTCTCGGCAACTGAACCAAGACATCTCCAGTTAATATGAATTGAAGAAAGATAAGACATTATGCTAACTATTTAAAGATAAGCAAAGATCCTTGGCACCTGTATTGCAGATATGCGCCTTGGCTGAGAGCACACAATTTTGCATGTCTCACCTTTTCCCCACATGTGATCCAAAAGAAATTGAGGAACCTGAATTGTTACATAAGAATATAGCTGAAGGATCAGACTGGAAAAGAAGTGAAGAACTGAATTTCTAATGGTGAAATGAATATGATCTAAACCCTACTAAGGTATTCGCATCTATCCTACCTAACAAGCTTACCATCTATTTGATACCCATAGAAGAACAAAAAAACATAACAGGATCGTTTTGCACTGACGACAAAAAAAAAGAAGATCCAAGCATTGTAGAAAGAGAAAAGAGTTTATTGATGCAAACATCCACGAGCAAGTTACAAGCAGTTCAGAATACGTAGAATGATATTTAGAAAACTTAAATCTAATGGAAATTGCATGATTACATGTTTTTGAGTGTTTTTAATAAATGGACACAAATACAAAGTCAAAAGCATAATTAGCAAGTCTTTGTTTAAAACATTATTTTTTCAAAAAAGCTCAATTTTTTTCAAAAAAAACTCTATTTTTTAGAATCCAATAAGAAATCCAAGTTTTTCTAAAGATCTTCAAAAAATCGTCGTATTTTTTAAACAAAACTGATATTTTATCTTTCATCAAAAAAAGCTTTTCAAAAAACTTCTTTGCTATAACTTTATCTTTTCATCGATTTAATATCTTTGAATTTTGGTTTGGAGAAAAGCATATAAATCAAGAATCCAGATTTAACATAAATTTCCATAAAAAAATTCCTCCAATATGTTCCCTTAAAAAAAAGTGCAATACATACCCAAAAAATAATCCATCAAAATGACCATATATCTCAAAATAATAGTTAAGAGGAAGAGCAAGAGTAACCCAATGAAAAGTCCTTTTTTCATCTAAACACAGAGCATCATTATAAAGAGTAAGAGAGAGATTCAGTGAAAACTAAAGATTTAAGCAACTAGGAATTCCGAGTGAGCTTCGAACATTTGGATTTGCTTAAGCATTTTGTTGCTTTCTTTCTGGATACTGAAGTTTGATTAATTTCGCCTTTAGAATTTTTTTAATTTCATCAGTATATACAACGTAATTATTTAGATGGACCACTATTTTAAATTTTTCAGTTTTTGTGATTTAGTTAACTGCAATTTTATACCAAAAGTTCTTTTTAGTTTTTCTCTTCCAACAATAATCGCATATCTTGGGTTCCGTTCTTGTTGTTTCGTAATGTCGTTCTTCTGTTTAGTATTGTCGTTGTCTTTTTTTATTGTATGCTTTGAATAAATCTATCATAGGCTTTGTAATGTGACAACAAAATAAGCATTATTGTTATATTTATTGAAAGTTTAGACTAAAATTTGTCAAGTATGACTCTGGTATTGCTAGGTAAGGACATAAAAATTGTAGTTCAATAGTTTTAATGTATCCATATTTTGTTATCTTCACATATCCTATTTTTTCACTCTGTTTTTTAGCCAAATCCGAAATATTCACTATTCTCTTAACTAATTTTTGGTGATCTGTATTTTTTACCCGACTTTTTGCCTCCGACTTTTTGCCTCCGACTTTTTGCCTCCGACTTTTTGGAGCAAAACTGAATTAGTATCAATGTTTTGGCTTGCCGATATATTATTCTTCCCCAAGTGGCTAACTATGGTCAAAAGATGAAGTATGTGCATGAAATCTCTTTCATTTTCATTTCAGTTATTTATAACAGCAAATACAGTCCCATTTGGGATGGAAAAACTCGCCCAAGTCAACTCAACTCATCAAATTAGGAGGTTTTTGAAATGAAAAGCTCTACACCCAAGTTTTTCAATCTAGATGACTTGTTTATGTTAATTTGACAAGTACAAGGTTTATTCCGATGTGGTAGCATTTTATAATCACTTGTGAAGGGCCAGGTTTGATGCCCATTATATACTTTCTCTTTTGATTCTTCACAGAAATATTTCAGAAGGGCCATATTTTATGTGACTTGGGAAGATGACTTGGTGTTGGCAATGACCAAGTCTCTGAGTTTTTTGAACACTATTAATAGCACCTCAATTTGGGGTCTCAGTCTATTCTACAAACTACAAGAATAGCGCATACTGAAGAAATGCAGAGCAACAGGAAAGATGAAGACCAGTTATCATACAGTCAATTAGAGACTAATGGGTTAACTCTAGACGTGCCTAAACAACTACATCAACTAATTAAGTATTTTTTTAATTATGTCAAAAAGGAAAACAGGATTCAAACGGAAGAGATCAGCATATCAACCCACAATATAATAGAACACCATCCAGCTTATTTCCTTTCACAACTCAATGCAACAGGTTACAACATGTCACATTAAGCACTGATATATTATTGGAGTAAATATCTGAGTAAAATACATGTAGAAGATATCTTTACCTTCTACAAGCATCTCTTTGTCATTTGTTATCACTCTACTCCAGTCTTTTACTCATAGACATACATAGATAAATAAATATACATGCACATACGTGCACACGCACACATATAAAGACATGCACGGTTGTTTTCTTGAACTTTAACAACAAACCCTTTTTATCAGATCAAATCTACAAGTCAAGCATCTTGTGCAGAAATAGACTTGAGGACAAGAGACCTCCTAGAAACCAAGTAACAGTTACCTGTCTAAATATCTAGTTAGCTAGCCAAGCAAGCACACATGCATATAGGTATCGTAGGGATCGCCACATATAATGTATTCCGTTCCTATCAATGACCATAACCATCTTCGAGTTACACAGCACCACAGGTATTTCTTAGAATTTAAGGGGCATAATATCAAATAACCACAAAATATGCAATAATATCACTAAATACTCGAGCACTAAAGGAACCAAAAGCAGCGTTTGCTACATCTAGAAGAAGGGAAATCAGCCATAAGAACAAAGAACATAAAAAGATCAATAACCTGAGTAGTCTTCCCACAGCCAGTCTCACCAGCAATAAGAACCACCTGTTTAAGAGCCAACAAAAGAAAGAGAACAACAAACGACATGGTCATCAGACTATTAATGCACACAGACATTGTAAATAATCAGAAAGTTCATTTAAGGGAAGAGGCATTTTTTTAACACCTAGGATTGGGGGGGAGGGGGGAGAAGTTCAAAACTGAAGAAATTTCACATGCAATTTGATCACATCACATTCTCCTCAAAAATAGTGTATCAAAATCAAATAATACGCCATTCTTTGGTTATTCAAGAATCTGTGGATCATATATGTCATGAGAGTATTGAACCTGATGTTTTTCAACTGCAGAAGTAATGGCATCCTTGAAAGATGCAATCGGAAGTTTAGACCTTTGCTCACTGATCTGCAAGCATAAATCAATTTATTTTTTTTGTTATTAAATCCGCAAGATGGAAAAACTGTAACTGCTTTTTTTCTGAAGCACAACATAACATATCAATAAACTGAAATGGTGAATGAATGATAAATTAAAATTCCCAAAAATCCAGGAGAATAGAGTACCTCTTGCAGGTGTCGAGACTCCCTCAGTCTGGAAGCAAGTAATTCCACCCGCTTGGCTATTTCAACTTTCAACATTGAGGGTTTCGAAAAGGTAGAATCATTCTTTCTATCTACACCCATGGCACACTCATTGGCATGCATGTTGATTTTTTGACTCACCTCCTCAAAAGGAGGATACTGGGTAAATAAGTTCTGTAAAATCAGTTTTGTTTCATCCGAAAATGTTAAATGTTCAATTTCAATATTTTCTTTCTTCTTCATCTGTGCCTTCCCGTTGGACTGTTTGTGAACAGATACACATCGCCGGTCTCCATGTCTGTGAAAAAGGTAAAAATTATGAAAACAGGCCAACGGAGGAAAATGGGGCTTTTCTTGCTCTTTTTCTTCTTCTTCTTTTGGTTCAAAGGTCCAAAAGGCTGTCATTAAAATAAATGGTCTGACTGATTTATGAGTAGAGTATAATGATAAGACTTTAATTGGAAGCCTCCTTGTCTAAAATTCCAAGACATAATTTGCTCAGCTACTATTTGAAGGTCAATCCAGTGACTGAAATTAAGTATTTTAAAGCTGATAATAACTTGCACAAATGACAAAAAAAAAAAGGAACCTTGGCATGTATTCTAATTTTAAACTCAAAATCCGTCTGATGTAAAACTTAAAGGCCCCATTTGAATGCCCATCTTTTTAGGAATAGGGTTCTTTACAGTTGCACCAAAATAGGTAGCGGAGCAGCTAGGCAAGCCACTATTCACAAGCACAACTCCAGGAATCAATACTTGCAAGATGACACCACCAACTGCAGGCTTTGCAGAGAGAGAGACTCTTCTGCCATTATTGATAGAAAATAGGTTATTGCCTTTCTTATTTTTCTGGTAAATAACAATTCATTGAAACTTAGAAAGTATATACCTACCTACATTATTATCTATCATGTAATTGTTTACATCGTCCATGTCCAATGACTCCCTATTTTCACAGTTGCCCATAAAGGCAGATAAATATATGTCTGGCTCTGGGATATGGCTATCAGGACATCCAAAACGGGATTAAGTAAACATAAAAAATATGGTGCTTGATAAGTATATTCTTTTATTAGTATAGATTCAGATATTTCTCTTTAGAGATCATTCCAAGAACACCATCGCATCCTACTCTGCTTTCATTGGGCATGCTGACTCAACCATGGCCGAATCCATAGCCTTTCACATGATGTCAAAAGATTTAAACAAAATTGGGGAACATCTCTACTGAGAGAGGGTGACTCAGAAAATGCAATTTCTTGGGCATCCAGTCTATCCCCTTGTCCTTGGCACCTTGAACTCAATTTGGTGCTTGATAAGTATATTCTTTTTATTGGTATAGATTTAGATATTTCTCTTTAGAGATCATCCTGAGAACATCATCGCATCCTACTCTGATTTCATTGGGCATGCTGACTCAACCATGGCCGAATCCATAGCCTTTCACAGGATGTCAAAAGATTTGAACAAAATTGGGGAACATCTCTACTGAGAGAGGGTGACTCAAAAAATTCAATTTCTTGGGCATCCAGTCTATCCCCTTGTCCTTGGCCCCTTGAACACAATTTCTAGTCAGATATTTAACCCATGCAAGCATAGGCAACCCTTATTTAAGTATAAACTCAGCAGCTGATTCCCCGGCCAAAGAAGATTATGCTGTGAGCAACATCAATGGGACTGTTTTGGCAACTTTTTGAGCTGGGTTCCAATTATTTTTGTAGTTCCTTTTGTATGATCGAGGGTCCAACACCCCATTCTCCTTTTGCATTGAGCAACTAAGGGTGCACTTCATTTTTACAATGTACAAAGCACCCTAAGACTAACCGAGGGAATAGCCCTTCATAAAACCGAATGGCATAACAAGATTCGTGTAGCCGACCTAAATAGTTGGGATAAGGCTCAGATGATGATGATAATGATGACAGAGCATCCTAAGTCCTAAGAGTGGGCTGCAATTTTTTGGACTTATAATTATGTAACTACAGCATTACCGAATACAACATTTAAGTTCTCTCAAAAAAAAGAAAAAAAAAAAAAACAAAGATTTAGATATTATCTTAGATATGCTCAATATTCAAACAACTAATATATCCTCAAATAGAACAAACACTATCAAATTGGGCATTAACTGCTATCCGTTCATAGTTAATTTTAAGCTGTCAAATGTAAGAAAAATTAGCTACATAGAACTAATCTGATTCTAATACCATTAAGCCCTATAACATTTACAAAACTACTCAATATTATTATCATATGAACAGAAAAACTAGTCTAGAATATCAAAATATATAAGCGCAACCTTGAGAGGAGGGTGTACCACAATACAAGTTGCCACAGCACTCCACATGAGTAGTGCGTGGAATTTCATAATGTCTATAAATGATCTCCAGATGTTTCATAGTATTCAAAGCATAACCCTCATATTATTACACAACTACCATTAAGGTCCAAAGCAAAAAAACAAAATTTTAGGGTACATCCTGAACACCATTCCCTGCTGATTTATTTGAAAGTAAAGGGACACATAGTAAGCCCCCGATATCAAGACATTCCCCAAACAGATCATCCATAGCATCATATTACAACAATTAAAACAGAAAATAACAATATCTTTCTACCCACCCAGAACTCTTCGAAACCAAGCCCATCCTTCTGGACACAAAATGCACCTCAGCTCTTTCCTCCTTATCTAAGTCAGCATCAAAAGTGTATACTGCACATCAAAATCATAGTGTATAACAAACTTGTGATTAATCATTCAGCTAGATAATGAAATAAGTAAATTTTCATGAAGTTTCAAAATCGCATCTGCTTGTTCAAGAAACAGCAAAGAAAGATAATCAAAAGTGTATACTGCACACCAAAAACATAGTGTAAAACAAACTTGTGAGCAATCATTCACTAGATAATGGAATAAGTAAATTTTCATGAAGTTTTAAAACTGCATCTACTTGTTCAAGAAACAGCAAAGAAAGATAATCAAAGAAATAAGACAGGCACTCATGAATAAAATTATAAACCAAGATGTACGAAAACACAAGAGAGTCCATATTACCGAGACATGATCCAGTTATATCATCAAATAAACAAAATGTGAGGCATTTTTACCAAGTAAAATAAGCAATCATGAGATAGCAGTGCAGGAACAAGAACAAGACAAGGTTATAGAAATCCATATAAAATCAGACTACATTTAACTCTTGGATTTCTTTAGTCCATTCAGGCAGTCAAACTTCCATAACAATTGAACAAGTCCAAACTCGAGATAATGGCCCTGAGTTTGTTAACAACAAATGCGTCATTCAGAAATCAGAAGGTTATAATTTAATTCTACATCAATTTGAGATTGATCTAACTACAAGCTTAATGAAGCAGTTTAATCCAATCAATGCAAAAAAAAGCAGGTTAAGGGTGATTCAACAATTAATGGATGAAAACAAAGAATGGAAACCCAGTTACTAGTAAAGATTCTGAGGAAAACGTTGAATAATGAGACCGGCTTTCTAGGGTTGCGAATTCCAAATATGACGAATGAAAAATCAAAGAAGGTGGCAGCCATTGTAAAGTAGCTTGGTTTTCCTTCATTTTTTTTCTTGTAAAGTAGCCAGTGAAACATTGCCTGCTTTTTCTTCTGTGTTTTGGTTAATTAACTGGCTTTTGAGCAGCCAAATACTAATGAGAGAAAACAAAAAAAAAAAAGACCCAACAAATCGAAGCAACAACGGAACCAACTTTAATGTGACTTTTGCTTTTCTGACTGGTTTTTCTGCTACCAAAATCCAGTGTAAAAAAAATATCAACAAGGAAATACCATTTTCAAAAGAAACTTCACAGTTCTTTTCACGCATATTTTGCTTCCTTCACTGGTTTTTAAGCTACTGAGTTTTAGACAAATAAAACCTAAAAAAAATAAATTTTTCTGAAAATCACTAAACAGTGTAAACAGCTATTGACATATATTGTTCTCTCATGGTTATTGAGCTACCGCATTGTAGTGAGAGAAAACCAAAAAATAAAGAAAAGAGATAATGAAAAATCATCAATTTTCTCTCTAACTATAAAAGAAGCAGCATCACCATTGAACACAAATATAACACAACAAATCCCTGTAATTCATTACAAAACAGAAGGGAATATCTTAGCAAAAAAAAGATAGAAGAAAACATACCAATATCATTTCCAGCACAAAACTCCTCCAAAGTTCTCAAAATTTTAATGCGGCTCTCTTCTCCCACATTTCTTTTGCCCCCCTGCCAGGCCCCTTTTCTCTTCCCCATTCTCTCTCTCTACTGTATACCGACTCTAGGGAAGAGGCCTCTCTCTCTCTACTATATAACCGACTCTAGGGAAGAGGCATGCTCTCTCTCTAGATACAAAAGACTAAAACCAGAGGGAGACGGACAAGCCTGATTTTCACGAAACGTATATACCCCTTAGATGAAATTTTAAAATTACCCCTCAGTACGGGACGAAAATTGCGGAATGCCCCTTCTACTAAAATTTGAATTTTCAATTCACTAAAGGGCGGTTTTTTTTTTTTTTTTTTTTTTTTGAGAGGCAGTAACAATTGTCATTCAGCGTCACTCGGGGATCGGGGAGGTGGTTTTGAACTTCTTCAAATGGGTGAGGTCTGTAGAAGGTGTCTGCATTATACTATACAACAACGGTGGTCCTTTAAATTTTGTTGAAATATATAGTTGTCGTCTTGGAAATCTTAAAATGGTTTATAAATTTATGTTCAACCTTAATTATAAAATTTAAGATTTAAAAATATAGTAGATCTATAATTACTTGAAAGTCTTAAAACTAGACCGTCCTGTTACATGATTCACCATTTTTAGGATTTGAAATTTTTTGTTTTCCTTATACACACTTATATATATAATACATGCTCGGCACCTTTATGAGTTGTTATCCATTGCTGCACTCATGTTAAATGGCCCTTCAATTCAAGGCGTGCGCCTTCAAATTGAAGGACCATAAGATTGGTGGTATGAAGGACCTCAGCTTCTGAGATTTAAATTGTTTAGGGTTTTCAGCCAACGCTCACCTAAAAGGAACTAAGTTATATGGTTGTATAATACATTTTTTAAGTGAGAAGATGTGTCCCATATTTCAAAATTGTAATTATTTTTCTTAATTTACTCTCAAAATAATGAATTTTGATTTAATTTCAACACACAAATCATCATGAAATGGAATTTATAAAAAGGTAAATGTTAAATAGTTGATAAATTAGTTGCATATTGAAAATTTTCTCATTATATTATAAAAATACCAAATCTCTTATTAGAAAAAAGTTTATATAAGGTTGCAACTTTAAAATGTAGAATTAAGGTATACCTCTAAAATTCATCATAAAAGGTTGTTTCGATATTGCAAAACCCTTTAATTATTCATCTCAACATCAAGAGATATATATATATATACAAAAGTAGCAAAAAAGTAGCAGAAGAGGATACAAGGATATTAATCAAAAGAGTAATAGAAAATGCAATAATCAAAGAGTAATAGACAAGAAACATATAGTTCAAAAGGATATTAATCAAAAGAGTAATAGAAAATGCAATAATCAAAGAGTAATAGACAAGAAACATATAGTTCAAACGGAAAGACAGGGTAAGGCACTTACATGGCTAGTAGTTGACCAGAAGTAATGCACACAAAAGCACACTAAGCACAATCTTACAGAGCACACTCTTACAAATGCACAACCTAAAACTCTTAAGAATAGTATAGCTGGAAGTTTTGCAGCTTAAATTCGAAGGTGTCTTCTCCTTTGGCCTAGGTTCCTTTTTATAGAAGAGGGAGAGCAAACTTCAAACATTTTTAAATCCACACCGACAAAATAAAGATAAGATTTGCACTGACAAAGTAAAAGCAAAAGGAGTGTTTTACATCAATTAAAGAAATAAAAAAAAAATTTCTTCTACAGTGTCTTGTCGACAATAATTTCTTTTTACTGTAGAGCTTTTTGTTTTCTCTGGGGACACATGTCCTGAATAGTCTGGAGTCGTACCACCCCTGATCTTTTCTTCAATTTATTGGGGAAAATATTCCCGCACAGTTGTCTTCGTTTGGAGGGTCATCATTGTTTGATAAAGTGGGTGTTTTAACTTCATCTTCTCAAGGGAAAAGAGTAGCTTTTTTCTTATTTCAGCTTTTGAAAGAGTTGGATTCTTTTGTTGCATTAGTGAAATGCATTCAAAGAATCATATATCAGGCTGTGGAGCAAAAGATGGGATGGTCCTTATATAAATATTTTTTGGATTCAGTGAATCATTTTGTAGGCATCCCACCATTTTTATTGAAATATGTCGTTGTAGTTCTGGAATATAGTCCCATCAATCCAAATTATCTTCAGAAATTTGGTAGGACCATTTTAAAATCCATGGGACCTGATATAAGGCCATAAAATATATATGGTAGTGTCTTTTTAGACTTTTTTTATTGTAATCAGATAATTTTCTCTGCAATACTTGTAATTTTTCAGGTAGTATCTGGCTTAATGATCCCCATAATAGGAACTAACTTTTAAACCAATTTGAAATTTATGCCGATTCAGTTCTTTTAAACTGTATGTACCAGCTATGTGTATGTTTAGTATTCTGGTAGGCAAATACTTCATCCCATGCCTTAACGTATTTAAAATAATAATAGAATTTGATTTTAAATCCTTTGGTTTTTAGTACCCTTGGCTTTAAAGGGTTGAGACTCCAGTCTCTATAAGACATGATTTTATGTATCTGAAACTTTAGATATGCTATTTTTTAGTCATTGTTTCTATAATGGTGTATTATTCACACCGACCCGGTTTCCATTAATATTGTTTCATACCATTCACTACATCTATCTCTCATATTTGAATGTAGATGGTGGCGTAAGTATCAAGCTGCTATTTCAATAGGGTCCTTTTCCCTGTGCTCATTTTCTATTATGATTAGCGGTATATATGTTGTTTCAAGAAATGGAGTTCTATTTTGGTCTGGATTATTGGTACTCAAGGAGGATTGTTGGGGAGATATTTTAATCTCTTGAGCTTGCTTTCTTATTAAAGCATTTAGGGTGTATGAGGAAGCCAGGGTTTTTCCTGAGCTGGAACTATTTGAAGCCAGGTGTTTTCTTGAGCTAAAACTATTTGAAGCCAGGGTTTCTCCTGGGCTACTATATCCATTGGTTGATGTTGGCTTCTCCTTCCCTCCCTGTAAAAATTCTCTAGTCAAGAAGTCATGAAGATGATTATCTTTTCCTTGAGTGTGTTCATCGAAATCAAAAGAAGATAGAATTCCTTGCCATCTGGCAAAAATTTGTTTTGCGACTAGATTTTTTATATCTTTTTCTTAAATGTCTTTGGCGGATTTGCAATCAGTTCAGATAAAAAATCTTTTGTTAAGCAAATCACTTTGGAATTTTGTCACACAATGGATTATTGCCAAAACTTCTTTTTTAACAGTAAAATATTTTTGTTGAGCTGGGTTCCAAGTTTTAGATGTAAGGCGCATAAGTTGCTCAACATCTTGGATTTTTTATATAAGAATTCCTCCTAGCCTAAGTTCAGAGGCATATGTCTCAATTATTTTGAAAGTTGTCGGGTTAGAAAGGGCTAAACAGGGTAATTCTTGGATTTAAGCTTTAATTTTTTAACTGTCATGGTGTGTTCATGCGTCCAATCTGAATGGTTCTTTTTTAACCTTTGGAATAAAGGTTTAGCATCCTAAGCTAAATCTTTATAAAAATTTGAGATGTAGTTTAGACATCCTAGGAATCTTTGTAATTCCTTTTTATCTTTAATGATATCAAGAAATTTAGAAGCAAATCCTATTGTCATATCAATAAGGATTATTCTTCCTTGAAAGCTATCGTGTCCAATAAACCTTATTTTATTTTTAAAAATGTTTATTTTCTTGGCTGAAACAACCACACCTGCACTTTTTATAGTTTTATAAAAGATATTCAGATGTTTCCAATGCTGGACAATATTTTTATAATAAACAAGGACATCGTCAATGTAAACAATAATAAATCTGGTATAAGGATTGAAAATATCAATCATAATATTCTGAAATTTTGAAGGGGCATTTTTCAACCCGAAAGACATCACATTCCATTCATAATGTCCAAAAAAGACATTAAATGTTGTTTTATTCCTATCTTTTTATATTATTTAGATTTACCAATGCCCTGATTTGAAATCAAATTTTGATAAAATACAGGCATTAACAAGTCTATCTAAAAGATCCTTTTTATTTAGAATAGGATACCGGATCCACCTTAGTGTTTCATTTAAAGGTTTATAATTTATGACCAGTCGAGGTGCTCTTTTTTCAATTTTTGAAGCTTTTTCCACATAAAAAGTTGCACAGCTCCAAGATGAAGAACTTTTCCTAATCAGGTTCTTATCAAGAAGTTCTTTTATCTCAGTTTTACAAATTTCCAGGAGCCTACTGTTCATTTGTATAGGTCTGGCTTTAGTAGGAATATTTTGCTCATTAAAGCCAAGATACGAAAGTTCTACGATATGTTGCTTTCTATTCCAAAAGGTATTGGAAATGTCAGCACAAACTTCTCTTTCTAATTTTTTTCTGAAATTATTGATTTTACCTTGTATTTGAGGTAAAGGTAATTTTTCATCAATAATCTTATGTTTAACTTCTTCTTTTGGATAGAAGAGAAATTTCTCTTTAGTAGAGATTTTGTTTTTAATGTTATTTATTTCATGAACTTTACGTTTATCAATGAAGTCAAATTTTACTTTTTGTCCTTCAATATCAGCTTTTATACCTGTATTGTCAAATTTGATAGGATAGAGCATATTTAATAAAGGAGTTCTAAGAATGACATGTTGGCTTAACCCTTTGACAATTATAAAAGGAAATTTAAAACATGCACCATTGTTGTATACTGCCGCATCAGATAGTTTGTAATTTATTATAATTTTACTACCATCAGCAGTATTTAACACCTGTGTTGTTTTGCTAAAATATTTGGTTGGAACTAAACCTTCATTTATGCAGTTTAGATCTGCTCTTGAATCTATAAGAGCTGTGGTCTGAAAAGTGTATTATTTTTGCACCACTATTTTTATAATAGTAAATCATCTTTGGGTTATTACTTTATCTAGAAGGTTAACAAATTTATAATCGTGTAACTTTCTCAGCATATTACAATTATTTGAAGTTTGAAGATCATTTATCACTTTTGGGAGTGTATCTTCAATTGCGGGTGGTAAAAGATTGTGATTATAATCATGTATTAGATCATTAAATTCTCCCTCAACATTTTCATTACCACTTTCTTTTTTAGTGGTTGCCATCTCTAGAATCTGTACTCTAGTTTTTAGAGTTATAAGTTCATTTCGAACTTAATTTATCTCATTTTTTAGATCAGTAATTGTAGGTTCCTTGTGGAT